TGTCTACTGTCTGTCTGTCTACTGTCTGTCTGTCTGTCTGTCTGTCTGTCTTACTTTTTCCCAGCACTAAATGACCATTATTGTGTCGATGTGCTTCTCTTTACTCGACCAAACAAAACAAAACAAAACACAAAACTCCGCTTTTTTATACATGTATGACACTCCAACATTGATCAGAATAAGTATTGTCACGGACACTCCGTTTTGCCGATGAATCAGCAAGTTCTTAGGGAATACTCGTTATAAAATGCCTACATTTCTGTTCATGATCGCTCCCTGGAACTAAAGCCTCTTATGGGGGCTCTCATGGCCTAGAGGGTAAGGTGTTCGCCTCTCATTCAAAGGTCCCGTGTTCGAATCCGGGTAGCGACCGAAAAATTTTCTCATCTAAAATTGTCTCCTTTTACCTCCTTTCCGGCTCTCTAGTAATGTTCTGTCGTCTGCTTTCGTCTCCTCTTTCTGCCCCCACCCTCTCGGACATGGGCGAAAAATCCAGGTCCTGTGTGAAAGTCGTGCACGTTAAAGATCCCTTGGTGGTCTAAAATCGATAAGAGTATGCTTCGGTCGCCATCTGGGCAAAATCCAAAATTACATAATTTCCTACCGACTGAAAAAGTGTAATGTGTCCCGCGCGCTCATATGACCTTATGCAGTTGCGAGCGCCGTAAAACCTTACTAAATCTTTTTTAAACCCAACAAACAATCTGGATCTCCCTCCTGTATTCGAATAGTAGGTTCGAATCCCGTCAGGGGCCCGACACAGTGTCCTTGGGAAAGACACTCTACACGAACTTTCCTCACGTCATCCAGGTGAGAATGGGCACCCAGCCATAGACAGTGTGAAATCTTGTCAGTTTGGTAGTGTTCGAGCGCTTAATCAGCTGCTTGCACTGTATGCTTCCCGGGAAGCTGAGAATGTTTCTGAGTGTTCTATGGTCTGCTGGGGTAATAACATCGTAAAGCGTATAGAGTAGAGCTTGCTGTTGAGCGGGATTATGTGCTATACAAATGCTGTTTATCATTATTTGCATTCCCCAGTTTCGGCAAGAAGGGTCTGCTGGCGCCGGGAGTTATGTTGCTGGGTAGTGCAGTCTGTGCTGGCGTCATCACCAAGGTGAACGGCTTTGGGACTGACGTTACCATCAAAGGGTGAGGGAATTTTGTGTGTGTGTGTGTGTGTGTGTGTGTGTGTTTGTGTGTGTGTATGTGTGTATGTGTGTATGTGTGCACGCACGTGCATCTGTGTGAATCCACGTGTGTATGTGTGTGTATGTATGCGAGCACGCGCATGTGTGTGAATGTACATGTTTATGAGTGTGTGTGTGGGGGGGGAGAGATGGAGAGAGAGAGAGAGAGAGAGAGAGTGTGTGTGTGTGTGTGTGTGTGTGTGTGTGTGTGTGTGTGTAGATATTTCAGAAAGAATTAGTTTCGAAATGCTACTCTTGCAATCCCAAGCCAACTGTTAAGAGTCTATATTTTATCCCACATTCTAACACAACTTTAAAAAAGCAGCAAAACATGAGTAGCAATGCCATCGCCAACACCAGCATAATATATCCTTCTGCTGTTGCGAGCGCCGTAAAACACTTACCAAAAACAAAAACACACACATGGGAGGTAGCTTTTGGAACAGAGAAAACGTAAAGAAATGTCCTGATTACTTCCCCGTGTATGACTTTCGTCAATGTGTTTGTCATTATGAGTTTCTGTGTGTAGTTTCTGAAGAGCTCCGGGGTCTTGATGGTCTATCTCCCACTTCTAGAGTCATAAAATTTGATGTACAGAAAAGTGGGAAGACATGGAATAACATTAAGAGGCTTGCCCAGGATAGGGAAAGGTGGAAAGTGTTTGTCCGTGGCATGTACCCTGACCCAGGGTGAGAAAGGCAGTGACGATGATGATGATAATCTCCACGTCTATACGGAGCAGACTTGTCTCTTTCATGGAATAAAGCTGCCACATCTCTTAATCAAAGGAAGATCCAACCCCATAAGCGGTTCCAAGTATTTTGAATATCTGCTGACACTTTAAATAGGAATTTAGTTCATACTTTAAATTCTCATGAAAACTGAAAATCGTTCTTTTCTTAATTAAAGTGGAGGAAGGCCACTCTTACTCTTACAACCACATAAAGCATCGTGTTCATTGAAGTCAATTTCTTTGTGGCATGATCTGATGATAAACATGGCGCATTCTACTTACAAGTTTCCCTTCTCCTACATTCACTAGACGCGCTCATATGACCTTATGCAGTTGAGAGCGCCGTAAAACTCTTACTAAACTAATTCACCAGACCAGACTTCCGCCGCATCTACTACATCAAGCCCTACAACCGGATAGGAGCGTACATCGTTGGCACGGTTACCGGCTGGCTACTCTACAAGACCAGGTGTGAGGCCAAGCTACACTGGGCAAGTCTTTGGTCTCACTAGTTAGGATTTGTAGGGATTTGATTATTAGGGTTTGTCCTCAGTAGGGATTATTACAGTTTTGATTATTAGGGTTTTGATCTCTCTAGGATTATTAGAGTTTTGATTATTAGAGTTTTGATTATTAGAGTTTTGATTATTAGAGTTTTGATCATTAGGGCTTTGATCTCACTAGGATTTGTATGGTTTGAATTATTAGGGTTTTGATCTCAGTGGGGATTTTTAAGGTCTTAATTATTACAGTTTTTATATCAGTTGGGATTATTATGGTTTTAATTATTACAGTTTTTATATCAGTGGGGATTATTATGGTTTTAATTATTACAGTTTTTATATCAGTGGGGATTATTAAGGTTTTGATTATAAGGGTTTTGATCTCACCAGGATTATTAGTCATGATATACCTGGATACCCGGAGGTGTCATCTCTGACTCAGAGGTTGACGTGTAATGACGTGAGTGTGTGTGTGTGTGTGTGTGTGTGTGTGTGTGT